CTGGCTTCAACAAAAGACGCTGCAAAAAGCGTATGTATTGCTGTCAGCCAATGTTTGTTCGCGTTTTCATCGGCTTCTCGTTAGCATGTATAGAGCATTGTTGGGCGTAGTTTTATTGCAAAACGCGTGTTATTGATCCCTGCAACTACACAATATATTGGAAGGTCAAAATAAGTAGTGAGTTGAAAATGTATCTCTGCATCTGTCTCTCATTTACATTCCACTCTGGTAACTCGTCTGTTTAGTTATACGCTATCTGAACACTCATCGTAATTTACAATCGTTATATACAGTAGCTATGATGAATTTGAACGACTATCGAGGATCATTCAATTGTTATCCCCCTATTTGGCCACCCCTATTCGATTAATTTATCTCCTTCTCTATGGTATCTCTATTTGTCCGATAAAGAACAATAATTTCTAGAATCTTTTTAGGCGATTGCTGGCACTTCAATAATAAATGCTATACATGTTTGTAACAATTGAAGCCTCCCCACGTCTACAATTAATGGATTCATCATTTTGGTTTGATATTTGAAAAGCTTTGATCCAATTTAAAGGGTGTGTTTTCTTTGTGACCATCGAATAGTGTTATACAAACCAGGATAGCTTGGGACAAAAGTCGGAATCTTGGTGTGGGAAATGATGCGTAGCCTCGCTCTGGAATGTCGGTTATTCTCCCAGTCACCACATCGATATATCGATAATGGCGGGCTGTATACATTTTAGGGCTGACTTTAAATGTCAGCATCCCATAACGAGAGTCAGAAAGCATAACGGTAATTAAAAGATATACCTACAAATTTGACAGCTATGAGACGAACTTACAGATTTGTGTGTTGTGACAACACGTTAGCGCTGCATTACAAAGACCTGCGGAAACCCCCAAACATAGAGTTAAAATAGTGAAAACACTTAACAGACTTTCCGTTCTCTGAGGTGAACAAAAGACAGAACGAAATCGCAGAGCTTTAACAACTTTTAAGGCCGAAACCCGATATTAAAATTGGTAATGATAAGTAGGCATCTGTACTAGATGGCGATGATAAGCTTGCAAACCGCGAACCTTTTTCTACACTGAATCAGCTCGGAATTCGCAAACTGACAAGAGTAAGTTGGCCAGGCAGTCATCTCACATATCAACGGACGGATTGTGGCACCGACCATGAGAGTCTAAATCCCGGAGAATGTTAAGTTTCACCCGTAAATAATCAATTTAACGCATTAAACCATAGAACAGAGCAAAACACGACTCAATGCCGCGTTTTATTCTCGCAATGGATTGAGCTAGACAGCACACGGATCAATACACAGGGTACTCAGTTAATCGAAGTCTTGTTTTAACTGTTCCTTCCGTATACGTCGTTGATGCCTGGTGTCTTTTCCACGTCAATGCATCGAAATTCCACCCAAATAGGTTTCCCCCGCACCGCCGGTCGCTAGTTAGTAAGCAGTTTTCTCGGTAATAAACAAATTAGTACTTTCTTATCATTACATTGTTAGTTTTTAACAGTGTACACAGGGGTAATATTAAAACCACTGAGCTATGTCGCCTATACAACCAGCGGTATGCAAACTCGTCTAGCGAGCACCAGCAGTACGTGAGCTCTGTATGGAAGTCCTACATCGCTGGTTTTTTTGTTTGCGTCCACTGACTGACTGAAGAAGAAAAAAGACTAGTTATCCGGGCAATGATTTGAATGGTAACACATGGTATAATGCACGTGATCAGTGGCGACAAATAACGCAATGCCGATTGTTTGCCGCATCTTTTAGTGTCCTACGCAAACTTATATACATTAATTAATGACAAGGGAAGACTACTTATGAAGCCCAACCTCTCTAATAAAACCTTGTAGGCATACACAAAACTAATGCACACGCTGAAAAGCTATGTGGATTATCAACTCTTTATTTTCAAATTAAGCCTATTACATGTACACTGTGTGCAGAATGGTCGAGCTTCCTGACAACTCTGACCTAACCCACTACTCGGTTTCGATAAATTTCAATTGCCAACATATTCCCATGATAAATGCAACTTTGCATCACAGGTCGGTGAATTGGGGAATTCATCTGTGTACTAGAAGTTGTCGTGTTTTGCCTGTACATGTAACAGTACGCATAACGCCCCATCGGGATCCAAACTCTGAAGCAGGAGTTTGCCTAGTCAATTTACAAAAAGCTTTTGCTTTACAAAACAAGTCCATAACAATGGCGGTAGTGTGTACATTTCTGCCGTTTACAGGATATTCGTAGCTTTCTTAGCGAAGCCCTAGCTGTTAGGGACCTTGAGCCCTTGTAAAAACATATCTCTTCCAACATGCTCTTTCAGGAAACTATTGAAAATCTCGCGTTACTTTTCGACTTTTCCCCGACTTGATCCCCTCATTTTCTTTTAAATGTACAACCATCGTGAATATGCATTGGGAAAAAAAGACGGCTGCATTGAGTTGGAAGTTCGTAATAACAAGGTCTTTGTGCCTCACTGCAGCTTTATGTTTCAATCCATTCAAACGACCGTAGCTTTGTTTCTCGCTTTATTACATGTATAACACCACCATGTTTGCACATTAGTAAGAGTACTAGTAGCAGTTCCCCGCGTATTATCCACTGGTCCGAATGTCCAATGGGCGATTACAATAAACAATTATCATCACACCTAAACCCTGAGGAACTTGGAGCGGGAATTTTAAATAATGACACCGGGAATATTTCCAGTCGACCACGCGGAAAGTTTGTGAAGTATCACTATCTAAATCATGGGTCAGCTCACTTAGACAGGTCATTCAAGTGCCTTCCAAATCACCCTTGGTAGATATAGCATTTGGTTACCGGCATTTCCCCCCAGCAAGTAAGCGCATAAGAGTAAATGTGGTTACATGCACTGAGTATTAAAATGTAAAGACATTTGACAGCTAAGAAACCATAATTAGTTTAGTAATTCTCACGTCAGTGACAAGAGTTTGGGGCTATTTTTTTCTGTGGTATGTCGATATTGTTTAAACCAAGCTGCTACGCTTGTCATATTTTTGAGAAGTCCCACTCCTGCCAATAGAGTGCCTTTTTCTTCTTGTGGCCACTTTAACTCTGTTTTCTCTGTCGCTGCGAGGGCAGCACTGTAGAATTGTTTTGCCAATGCCCCTTTTAACTCAACATAGACCCTTACAAAGGCAGTAAGTTTGGTTATTCAGTACTGCATCCGTTGAAGCCTTTGACGACTCCTTGCCGCTCTCTTTATTTTCTTTCATGCTGTGCTATAGGCACGTTACTTGTCGTTTTCTACTGGTTTTGTTCTTCAAATTGTCCAGGGGAGTTTTTTGGCCTATCACATGACACAAAACACATAGGCATATAAACACCAAGTCTTTGGCGAGGTTACTTCTACTGTTTAATTATTAATGAGGAGCTAATGGGTTTGAACTAATACTTAACTAGATTACTAACGGGGGACTTCTTCCAGTCTGTGTAACGGGGAGCCTCCGGCAGTCTGCTAGCAACCTCCATGTATGAAGAATAGTTCGTCTTTTACCTCTCAATAGTTCCGAAAGTTCTAAGGATACTCTCGACTCCTTAAGATATGCAATGAATCATAAACAAACGGATCCACTCTCCCTTTATTTGTGGAAATGGAATGAGTGAGTTGAATGGATTCCGCTGCTCACCCGCCCTTCCACCGGCATTGCTCAAGACAACACACATAACTTGCCGGCATCCCTCTGATCATAGCCTTACCATTATTCTGTCTGGGGTGGCGGACGCGACCTCTCGGTGAACACAAGAATAGTTTAGATTTCGATCACGGTAGAAGTGTAAACACACCGTCCTATTCTCATGTTAATGCGGAAAACGAGTGGAAATCATTTGTCATAATAAAAACCTCATTTGTGGACTGTGTTGCTGTGAAAGACTACGCTATGCCGTATTAGAACGTGCCTTGCCTGATGACCCATCACTAACCACTTATCACCAAGCCGTGATGCGACACTTGAGTACTTTATCAAGCATGGCTTTTAACGACAGTGGTTTATTTCCAGCTTACATCGTTCTCTCACTATCACCATTTAATATCTACTACTACCCCCTCCACCCTCCTACTCTATAAATCGTCGCTTTACTCACGCCCACAGCATGTACGCGTGTACAAAATCCAACAGGTAGTTGTTAAGATGTACATAATCTCAATTATACAGTATTGACAATACATTACAGAATTAGTCGATGTGACTTATAATCATACTAACAGTAAACACTGCTAACGAGAAGGGGTGGTCGGATTTGTATTTTCAATGAAGGATTGAAGTCAAAAGGTGAATAATAAAGTATTGCATTGTTCCACGTTCTGTAGCGGTTGAAAACTAAATCTGTGTCCCATTCAACTGGTTGGTTAAATCTGCCTGAAAATGTTCACGCCGGTGGCTGATATTTCAATATACGACGAGTAAAAATGTAAACAAATTATGGGAAATCTAGTCCCATAATCAATGCCTCATGATGAAAGTATACAGATGTCGAGTACAGCGTGCGGATCGATACAATGCTTTTCATTTGTGATGACGTAGTGGGATAGGGCGCGCTCTGATTGGTCACCGCTAGCACCTCTGTTTCATGAGAGGGGCTTACTGTAAATCTAATACTATTATATACGTCGTCCAGTCTGAGAGCGAGCACGAGCGTGTGAAGGTGATCAATCACAATCAGTTTCGCATTTACACGACGTAAGCTTGCCTTTAACAAGGTTAAGCCTTGTTTTAGCTTCAGCTTACCTTCTCAATTAACCATTCAGCTGTGTCGTAGCGTTGTAGTGGAGTTTAGTCCGAGTTAGTACTCGGTTAGAGTCTACACGCGGGGTCGGTCTCTACTGCGGGTATATATATATATATATATGTATATGCTATAATACCGGCAGTTGCACTGTACTCCGTTTTCCATGTATGTTGGCAGACCCTCTGGTCGATTATGTATACTAACTTTGGTCATTTCCTTGTAATGACAGATTGGAAGTAGTAGCAGTACTCTATTACTTTGGAACGATTGGTACGCAATCACAGCCAGTACAACAGATTACTAACCAGAGACATAGAGCACCACACCTGTGAGCAAACGGTGAGTACGTTACAAATATTCCACGCTATCAAAACGTTGAAACGTTATATGCAGTCAGTGAGTTGTATGTTTACTTCGACATCGACCTGTGTTAGAGTCGAACATGTATCCCCAATAAGCAGAGCACGCATGCCGAGGAATAATGCAAACGAGAAAACATATTCACCATTATTTAGGTAGTGACCGCGCTGCATTAGTGGTCTTCATACCTAGGGAGTGTGTCGTTAATTCCCGTATAGCGAGGGAATGTCACGACTTACGGGCATTTGACGGAATGGTGTGTCGTAAAAATTAATCATGTTTATTGTGTTTAAAATGTTGTTTTAAATAAGGTGCGAAAACGCATTAACGTTTTCGAATCTTCCAACTCTTACAATCGGCCGGGCTTTTCAAGAGATATGCTATATTCACCACCATATAATCGAAGCCACGAATCGGTCGTTTTTGACGCGGTTCCCGACTGAACGAAAAAATATTTTTAATGGCAGTATAAGGATAGTAATTATCTTGGAATCAAGGAAAGGATCCAATAATCAGCATTTGTTTCTCCCATTGTTTTGTGATGAGTTTCGGACTCGCTAGTTAATGCAAAACAATTCACACCTTGATGACAACTCACCAGTCGACCAATAAACAAGCCTTGTTTATTATACAGCAAATTACGAAGGCGGAGACCGTCACTCAAGTAGGGTGCCCACCCGTCAAATTTAGTCCTCGAAAGCCGACAATGGTGCGAATAAAGACCCTGCATCTTCGTGTCAAAATGCATGGCTGGGGTAACATAGGTTACCGCGCCACGAATTTTTAGAATGATTAAATCAGCTTGACCCGCTTTGTCATATTGGATAGGGCCGGCCTGTAATCTGGTGCTTGTGCCGAGCAAGTGCTAGTGTACTAAATAAGGGTTTACTCTTAGTTGACTCCGGCAATATGCATGCACTCGCTAGTTTCATGTCTCCTGATTAGATTCTTCTTCGGAAAATGCGATACAGCAGAGGCATGAGATAGAAAACAGGTAGCATTGGACACACCCACTTTTATGATGACTTTTAAAACATATTGGTGGTGTTTGCACATAGTTCCACCTCAAAGTAGTTTACATTATCACAAGGTCACCCAACTAGTGAAATATCATTAGATGGAAAGACCAGGAAGTTTGAAGAGTAATTTGCCACCCTCCCTGTGCTGTGTTTTTACCTTCTAAATGCAATTACCCTAACTTACAATCTAATCAGACGTCACTCAATGGTGCCGTTTGGTCTATGCCTTTCTTCTTTAGTACTTGATATAGCACCGGTCTTTATTCCAGTACATCGTGTGTTATTGTCTTTACTGCTACAGACAATCATTCATTCACAGCAGTAAAGAAAAAGGATTATCGTAACCGCCTTGTATTACAAAATAACGCCGATACGATTGACTTTCATTGCAAAGAGAAAGAAAAAGACAAACACAAATGAACGATCAGAAATTTTGTTAGTCAGACAAGTAGCTGTCGTAAAACGGAGAGAAAAAAAACAAAACAGTAAAGAGTTTACGTAACGCGGATTCTGTCAAAAAAGTCAACGAACTTGATAAAACGCTTAGAAACCATCCGTTGCTAAGTTTCACTAAGTCGATTTATAAGCGCGATACGTTTGTAAGGTTTCCTCACCACCAGTCACGTGTTGTTTTGTACTAATACTTTACCGTGCTAAGTTGAAAACTAACCGACACGATATGGGTTGCTTTTCAAGGTGTTTCCATATATACAACATAATACGTACCCCAGCTCGAATTGAGTGAAATGTCTTTGTCCGTATTTCAAGAATAGAAAAATTCGCTGCGTTTGGGCGGGATAAAACACTGCCTATTAGACACACTATTGTTGTGCATATTGTATTGTGACCACACATGAAAAGTGCATGTATGGGCATAGTGTACACCATACAGTATCATCGGCAATTCACTACCTTGTACTAAACTTAAAAACAAATCGCATAAATGACACTAGTCATTATGATTGGTCGACGACTAAAGTAAAAACAGCTCACCATTAACACATTTCAACGAATTTTTTAAATTACCTTCTTGAATTCGTTAATTTGACAATCCCGTAGGTGTTTGATTATCATGGCATGTAAACACATAGTAAGTTCGTAACGAATAACAGGTGAAAGAAACACCACTATCGGCGAAATGTATCAGGTATAGCTCACGGTTTCCAGTGCTCTCTATGAGTTGCACGCCCAAGATGTTCAACGGTCATACGAATTAAGACTAAAAACATATAATAATATAACAATAAAATAACTAATTCCGCCTTGAAACTGCAACGGTCAATCGATATAGCAAGAATAAGCCATACTATCATCGAGTCTGCAACCTGGCATTTCTTCCAAGATGGCGGCTGTCTTGGACGCCACATAGGAGTCAAGTTTTCACAACCTCGACGCTACAACAGAACCTTTTGCGACTTGTCCTTTCAATTGCAACTACTCTTTTAAACTAGGGTTGTAAATACATTTACACAGGGTTATTAATGCCAGTATATTCTCGATAAGGATGGATCGACCATGACATTTAATAGTAATTCCAAGCTTAAGCACAACTGTTTACGTTGTCATGATCGGCCGACTGAACTGGTCATTTGAAAATATCATCTTGACTAACACTGACAATTTCAAGTTCTCTCACTTTTAAAATAGTTTCATGATAAAAACAAGATAACTATTCTATGTCGACGAATACTTTCACATTGAGTGAATGAACATTGAGATATTTATCTCAAGTTAATTCCAAAAATGTATGGTTATTGTTGTTAATTATTCACTGTAATCGACACACCGACCGTCCATATTGAAATGTGCATATTTAATGTTCGATTGGTATCTCCTTTGCGATGTGCCCCTAAGAAATGGTCGCTATGATAGGCAATCATTGGTTTTGAGACCAAGATTTGTCAGCGTACCGTGAGAAGAGTGAATTAGAAGGTTGGTGACTGTAAAAGACGACCGCTGTGATTAATTTGTGCAAATCATTAAACATTCAATGTGGATTCTGGCAAAAAAGAAATTGAGTAAAATTAATGAGTGATGAGTGCACATGCGGGGGCAAATGTTGAGTCAACAAATACACGAAGAAACAGTGTTATAATTATTTGTTTAGAAAATACTGGATTTATGGCGGCCGTTAACTATTCCATGGAGCGTAAGGTGTAGTACGGCCACTTCTTAAGATGTGCAGTATAGTTAAAGCATGGCGAAACAAAAAACTCATTAGCTGAAGAGCATTGTTCATTTTGCTGATCGCCTCCAGCCCCTTAGACGTGGAAAATTAAAATGTCTACGTTCCTATTTTGGCTTCAAGTTGTCCAGCCATGCCGAACTGCTGCTGCGTGTCAGCTTTATTTATCAGTACGGCGAATCGAAATCGTGACGAAAACATACTGAATCACACTGATATGCGGTTGAGTATATTGGATATCGATTTGGAAAGACATTACTTTGCTGTATTTATGTTCCCGTGTTTCTGTCGTCAGTTCCGAGCAACTACTTTGAATTTCGTAGATGTACTCGGCGATGTATTGTTTTGATTTGGATAAACCTACCCGAACAACTGAATGTCCGCCATAACAAACGAAACACTCCGGTGGAACGAAAGGGCAAATTCCACGTACAGTATGTACGAATTGTAGAAGCCCCTACTATAATATTATCCCGCCTCCTATTCCTCCACAGTCCCAAGCGGAAACGAGCGTTATCCACATAATGTAATTATTGATTAACGTATCTTATAATTATCAACTGAAAAAAATAATAAATCACAGCTTTTCGTGGCGTAACACAGCTATCGGGAGTCCGACGTAGTGATTTTCGACCTGCTTTTAATATTCGAGTCCGCTACGCGATAAACGAGCCTTCCCCGCAATATGTTTTTACATAGACTCCAAGAAACAAACAACTGACTGCTATGAATTTTGTAGTCTATTTTGTCTGTCGCATGCACAGTGTAGCAATTGATGTCACGATTTACCCAACGCAAATTTAGGGTAAAGAACATGTATGACTGAAATAGACGAGACGGGAATATGGATATGTTTGTGTACACCACGGCATACTAGTACCCAGTTCCACTCACCCCCAAGCCACCAATAAATACGGTATCGTTTTCAACAAAGCGTCAGGAAACCTCAATATTTTGATCAATTAAATCAGTTCGAAATTCCCAACTAGCCAATTATCTAATTTTTCGGGCGTAGTACATCAGTGTTTTTCTTTCTTCCCGGCCACTGCCGCTCTGCTAGGCGGATTTGTATCTCCCTTGTTAGCGGTTAGCGATGCAAATCCCAATAGATTCAGGTCACTGTTCCAAATAATAATTTTGTAAATTTAATTATCTAAATGTTTGTAGATATAATTTTATGAAAATTGGTATAAATCGTAAACCATAGGGTCTAAATTGATTATTGAATTGATTATTAAGGTACACATTAATATAATAAAAATAGACATCAGCGGAGACTGGATACATTTCCGGTTACCTGTTTAATGTCACCTCCCCCAAATTTCCGGTGTTTTGATATATTTTCAAAACTCTACATTGGCCAGGATTTATCTTGCTAAAATGTATTATTCGCCAAAGTAATTTATTTTAGGACTGGGCACATGCATGTTAATGAGTTTGTTGTATAGTTACTGATTACCGCGTACACGCTGCTCCATTGTTGATTGTGACGGGAGCAGGGCAAATCAAAGACTGAGAAAATACTGGCAAATGAACACCAAGTAAATTGAAAATATAGAACAAATTAAGTGGTGTGCCACTCCATTCTCATGTAATAAATTACATTGATATGAGCAAGCGATGCAATGAAAGGGGCGAGGGAACACATTGAATACTGCTGTGTCGATTTAAGCCTACCTAGTTTGCGACCGTTTTAATTCCCTTGGGTTTCAAACCAGCATCTGTCGCCCCCCAACTTTCAATCACCCACTAAATAATTTAAAAAAAACTTCTTT